AGAAAGGTTATCATATTCTGTTGTGACAACCACAGAATTTTAGCCTTGAGCTGGCGCCCTGGCAAATCTTTATCTTTCTTTCTTTCTCTGACTAATCTAACGCCTGAGGGCGGAACCAAAGTCRTCCGTTTCTATTACTAACATGGACGTCTCTAAGAGACACACTYTTCTTCCTGATGCCAACCTAGGGAGAAAGCTGAGTTTCTCTCTCAGGAGAGACTTAGCTGGCTTTTAGGCCTTAGCCTGTGAGCTAACTAGGGAACCGCYGGGACTCGGCACATCAGCCAGTCCCAACCCGAGACTTCAAGCCTCTAAGTGTGTTTTTAACTACCGAGGGGAGATTTTRTTTTGAAAGAAGGAACCGGATGTACAGCTTGAATCTTTCTGGCTTGGACTGAAACTGACGAAAAGTTACCTGGGCAACACCTTTTCGCCAAGGACAGTGAGCGAGCCGATAAAAGTTCCCTGACTGATTGGAGGTGAGACAGTTCCTACCCAGGGGTGACTCAAGAAGCCATCACCAGGTAAAACTGATGTGTTAAAGGTGACGTGTCATGTGGACCCTGAGCGCAGAAAGGACGTGCTGATCCGGTTGAATCACACTTTGTTAAAGTAAAAGTAGTAGAAATACTAACCTTACTTTCCTCCTTTTCTTTGTCTTTATTTGCCAAAACTTGAGCTGAAAGCGCCAGTAAAATTGTTTGGTTGTTAACATCAGAGCTGATCGTTTTACTGTTCTATATAAGTAATCTGAGTTGATGTGAATTGAAATTCGGACGCGGATTTTTATCTCATTTAACTTTGACACCTTTATAGGAATATCCACAATCAAGTGTACTTATGATTTGTTCAATTTGTGTAAATAAATGATTGCATAATCTTTAATGAATCAACATGAACCCGTCTGAACGTTCACTTATTGTGTCACTTTTCACTTCGCACAGTCAAGATATTAAAAGTAATGAGAAAATACCTTGGTAAAACTTTCCTCAACCTTGTGTATGAGAGATGTGGGAGAAGCTTAATGCCATCTTTAGCCCACTTCCTACATGAACAACATCTCAGTTTTTTGGGGTAATGGGTCGACCAAGGTGAGAGAGAAGTATAAAAAATGACATGTTCACACTTTTTGTGTTTTGTTTCATATTTTAAACATGTTTTTATTTATACGTTGTGCAAATACAAAGCAATCATCTTTGTGTCAGAATGCAGCAAGGAATGTCTCCCAGGAACATATAAGGTTTTACAGAAAGGAAAACCCATTAACACTTTATCTTCACTTGGTAGCGATATAAGTAGTGACAAAGTTAATGTATATGATTTGCCTTTTTTTATTCTTAAATTTAAAGAATCACTACAGTGAATGAAATGCCCACCAGAGTTCTGGTCCAGCAAACAAAGAGATGCCTGCATCCCAAAAACATTAGAGTTTTTGGCCTATGATGAAATTTTGGGAGTATTGCTGGCAATAATTTCTCTGCATGGAATTTTTCTAACCATCATCATAACACTAATATTCTACAATCACATAGAGACCCCATTAGTATGCGCGAACAACTCTGAGCTGAGCTTCCTGCTGCTCTTCTCATTGACTCTGTGTTTCCTGTGTTCTTTAACCTTCATCGGTCGTCTGTCTGGGTGGTCCTGCATGCTGCGACACACAGCATTCGGCATCACCTTTGTACTCTGCATATCTTGGTAAAACAATAGTGGTTTTAATAGCATTCAGAGCTACACTTCCAGGCAGTAATATGATGAAATGGTTTGGGCCCTCACAGCAGAGGCTTAGCATTCTGGCTTTAACTTTTATACAAGTTTTAATTTGCATACTTTGGCTCTCAACAAGCCCACCTTTCCCTTTTATGAATCTGTTGCTCCATGAGGACAGAATCATCTTACAGTGTAATCTTGGGACAACTGTTGGATTTTGTGCTGTTTTGGGGTACATAGGATTTCTGGCTATATTGTGCTTTGTTTTTGCCTTTTTGGCTCGAAATCTGCCCAATAACTTTAATGAGGCTAAATTTATCACTTTCAGCATGTTGATATTCTGCGCAGTTTGGATTGCGTTCATCCCAGCATATGTCAGCTCTCCTGGGAAGTTTGTTGATGCTGTGGAAATATTTGCAATTTTGGCCTCATCCTATGGCCTTCTATTCTGCATATTTCTGCCAAAATGTTACATCATCTTGTTTAGGCCTGAGCAAAATACCAAGAAACACATGATGAGGAAGGCACCCAAATCTGATACATAAAATTGTCATTTGTTTCACTTTTACAAAGGTTTTTGCAGTGTTTTTATTCTGATTAAACTGTAGCTTTTTTGTGTTTTGTGGTGTAGGTATTATTGCAAATATTGTATGGTTGCAATAAATAAATCATTTGTTTAAGGCTTTCTTTCCTATATAACTGATCATTTAAAGTGTATCTCATTTACTTCTGCCCACATCGCCACCCAAAATAATAAAAAAATTAATATAACTGATAATAATAAATAAATCAAGCAACAGCATTTCTGTTCTGTAGTTAATAAGTGCTTTCATAAAGCAGTTCAGCAAAATARGTCCACAAACCAGTCTGTCCTGTTCAAATTTTTACAGTGGACATCTCGGCCCACCCATCCTGAACTGAGGTGTCCTGTTACTAGACACATAAATAAATAAATTCACAAGACTTTAAATAAAAAAGGCATAGCATGCATGAGCTAACAAGAATTTTTAATATAAATTCAAAAACAAAAATACAAATAATGTAATGAGCAAAAATGTGCAATTTATTCCTTTTTTTGTTTTTCAGTGGATGGTGTTTCACTACATAGCTAAAAAAAATATAACAATAATAATAATAAAGTTCAAACCGAGGGTTACGGAAGGTTATGGGCACCCACAATCACACACTCACAAACAACATTAGAAAAAAAAAACAGCTGAATATAGAAAGCCTCCATCTGTTGCACACATGGCTTCATTACCCAGTRGACCAACTCTAGGGATAGGCCAGCTGCAACAGACACAAAAAACAAGCTCTAGAGATGAAACATTCCAGCCCATTGCTCTGTTCTCATACACAACAACATGAACAACAGGTGGCATGTTACTCCAAGCAGAAAATTAAGATGTGTATTAATTAAAAACTTTGTCACAACATATAACCACTGGTTGTTGATTCATTAAAACAATGTTTAGATGTCCCTATCTTTCTTGTTATTTACTTATTTGATCTTTGGTCTATATTGCTCTGCTGTTTTGTACCCAGTATGCAATCACATTCAGTTATTGCATTGTTTGACAAGAATATTTTGACAAAACTAGAAAAATGCTCATCTGATAACTATTGTGTATATGATTTCAGTTTAAAATTTATTTTTGAGTTGTCTCTCTCTGTGTGTGTGTGTGTGTGTGTGTGTGTGTGTGTGTGTGTGTGTGTGTGTGTGTGTGTGTGT